AAGGCTAGCGTGGTTTACGTAGTGAGTTCCAGGACAGCTGGGGCTACAGGGAGACCCTGTCTCAAAAAGACCAAAAAAAAAAAAAAAAAACCCCAAAAAACATCCCCACACACATACCCCAGACTTCTTGAATGAATTAGCAATCTCATTAAGTTCTTTAGTAGTATAGCACGCCTCCTCATGGCCCACACTTTCTATCTTACTCTAGGGGCTTGCATAGCCTTGAGTCTGGCTATAGATCTAGAGGCAACAATTGGTGGGCACCTTAGCATTGTCTTTCCTGGCATCTCCTTCAGAGAAGGCCACTTAGGTTTGGCAGACAAAGCAGTATTAGTTCCCTCAGACAGGGGTAGGGTAGGGGGTGGTAAGGGCAGTACCGCAGGGGGTGAGGGTGGAGGTGCATCCTGTGCTAAAGTGTGGGGAGACTTCTTCAGGTGAAATAAAATCTTCAGGAGCATCGAATTCAACACCCTCAACCTCCTTAGGATCCTCCCTCCCATGCAGTTCCATCCCAAGTTACAGACTCCCACTTTTTTCCAATCAATACTCACTTTTAACTGCCAACACTCTTGGAGGCTGGGACTTAAATTTATTTTGTAAGTCAGTCATATGATGGGGATTTGAGTTTGATTTTCGGCCACTTGGACTCCATGGCTGCTGGAGTGAAGATTCTCCGCCAGAGCACACTTAGAAACCCTATTTGTTTATGTGAATCTGGAGCTGGTTAATTTCATCACTGAACTCATTTTTTGCCTTTGTCACTTTATCCAGAGATGCTAAAAGCAGCCAGTCAACATTTTATTTTCCTTATTTTCCAAAAACGGTCAAAAGTTTTATGTAGAGTTGCTCAATTCCTTGTTCCTCACAAGAGGTGACCCAGGAGAATCAAATGCATTCGTCTTGCATAGTTTTTTAAGTAGTTTATGCCGTGGAGTCTCACTGCTCTCTATGCTACCAGGGGAGTCTTTAGTATCTGGAGGTTTCATCGAGTTGGAGATCCAGCTCCAGATACCACCAAACCTATTAGAGAAATTTATCCTTTCAATTCTGTTTCTCTAGAATCACTCCTGCTAGAAAAATCCATATTACTTAGGGTTCTCTAGAGGAACGGAACTGATAGAACCATATATGGGATTTATCAGATTGACTTACAGGATATGGTCTAGGTAGCCCAACAGTGGCTGTCTCTCACACTGGAGAGGCTGACAATCTGGTAGCTGCTCACGGGGCTGGATGTCTCAGCAGTTTCAATCTGGCGCTGAAGGCCTGGAGGATTCCTGGAGAGCTGCTGGTCTTCAGTCTACGCCAGAAGCCCGAAGAAGCTGGCTCTAATATCAGTGAAGGAATGCCACAGCAACAGGGCAGATGAACTTGCCAGCAAGAGTGAAGACAAGAGTCTAAAGCAAAGCATGTGTCTCCTGTCTTCCTTTTATCTGGGCTGCCACTGGAAGGTGCTGCCCACATTTAGGGTGGGTTTTCCAGCTTCAAATAATCTGATCAAAAAAATCTCTCATTCTGGGCATGATGGCACACGCCTTTAGTTCCAGCATTTGGGTGAGGGGCAAAGGCAGGCAAATCTTTCTGAGATTGAGGCCAGCCTGTTCTTCATGGCCAGTAGGATAGCTGGAGCTACAGGGAGTCCCTGTCTCAAAAAGACCAAAAAAAAAAAAAAAAAAAGCCAAATATGGTGGTACACACCTTTAATCCTAGCACTTGGAGGCAGAGGCAGACAGATCTCTGTGAGTTCAAGGCCAGCCTGGTTGACATAGCAAGTTCCAGGCCAGCAGGGGCTAAAGGGAGACCGAGTCTCAAAAAGACAACAACAACAACAACAACAACAAAAATCTCTCATGGGAATATGCAGAAGTTTGTGTTTCAGTTGATTCCAAATTCAAGTTTATAGCCAAGGTTAGCCATCACAAGATCCAGTAGAAGGTCCTGGGGCTAGGGAACAACTTCATTGATAATGTGTTTACCCCACAAGAATGAAGACCAGGGTTTGATCCTCAGAATCCAGGCATGGTGGCAGGCACTTGTAATCCCAGTTCTGGGAAGGCAGAAACAAGAGATCTCTAGGTCTTATGGCCAGCCATCTAGCCTAATTAGTGGATTCCAGGCCAATGAGAGATCCTATCTCAAATGGGGGTGGACATGTTTCTGAAGGTGACATCTGAGGTCATCCTCTGGTCTCCATATGCATACTTCCCCACACACATGCCCCCCTCACTTGAGCATATACATACTTGAACAAATTTTTAAAAAGAAGGTGGAGGAAGAAGAGAAGGAGGAGCAGCAGTGCTAGCTGCTCCCTTTTAAGACAAAATTAATGTTTTGTCCTCTGGTCCCCTAGGCTCTCTGCACACAGGGGTGGGACAAACGTACAGTGGCAGGCATTTTCCTTAAAGGTTGGCGGGGGGACTAGCCCTCACAATCTCCATCATCCCTCCCCACATGCTGGTGTTAGTGTTAAACCTAACACTCTGATATAAATCGCACACACACAAACACCTACACAGGTGTTCATAAGTCTTCAGTGCATAAAGTGCTTGTCATGCAAGCATGAGGACCAGAGTTTGGATCCCCAGCATCTACATAAATGCTGATAGGCATGACAGCCTGCTTGTAATCATAGTGTTCTCAAAAGATCTTCTGGCTAGCTGCCTAGTGAGACTAGTGATTCAGAGAGCTCTAGGTTCAAGTGAGAGACTCTGCCTTAATATACAAGGTGGAGAGTGATTAATGAAGACACTGTGTCAACCTCTGGCCTCCACACTGCATAGACAGACAGATGTGCCCCACATATATGTGAACACGCATACTCATACATGCATACACACATATACGTACAGTCTTCCTCAGCTTAAGGACCTGAAGAACAGGATGCTCCTTGACTTATGGTGGGACTGCAGCCAACAAACCCATCACACTGAATATACCTTAAATATAAAGTGTTATAAGCTCCTTATTGTTAGCCTGGGAAAAACTTTGAATTCAAAATTTGAACTACAGTTTCAACTGAACGCTATTGTTTTTGTAATGTTTTAAAGTTGAAGATCCTAAGACAAGCCATCATTAAGCTTGGGACCATCTGCAGTCTAAGTGAAAACTGGCACTCTTGCTATGCAAATGAAGCAGTTTCGGGGAAGTCCTCTTCTCCCCATTTCTGCCATGGGACTTCCTGGGTGGAGTGATGCAGGGCTTCCCCTGGGGCATAAGGCTACAGCTCCCTACAGAGAAGAAGGGGACCAGCACATCCCAGCACTCAGTAAGTGCCTGGCATCCACACAGCACAAATATCCCCAGGTCAAATGAAAAGAAAAGAATAGGAAAGGAGGCTAGATTCACACTGTATGGGATCATGACCTTGTACATATACTTCTGGTACGGCCCACAGAAGACCATCACTACTTCTACTTTGTACGTCAAAAACCAAGCCTCAGACAGGTTAAAGGACTTCTCCCCGGCCCCAGAGCTGGCTCTGACCTGACCTCTGCATCCAACCAGACTCTTAGGTGCAGTGAGGGTGGTGTCTCTGTATGTGGGTGTCACAGACAGTCACCTGGTCAGCATAAGATTTGAGATGTAAGATTCCTATCTGCTTTCTTCCTGTCTCCTTTGCTTTCTTACTGAGCTGTTGGAAACAGTTTTCCAGGCTCTCCTCAGGCTTTCTCAGTCAGTCTTTCCTCAACTGTTCTCTCAAACTTCCCTTGGTCCTCTATCCTAGGCCCTGAATGGGGGCTGGGGGAGGCAGCAAATTCCAGGGACTACTTCCTTCCTGTTCTTTCATGCTTGGGGACCCTAAGCCCTCTCCTTGACCAACTTTTACCCTCCACCACAAGGGGAAGGAAGAGAGGCCACCAGTGCAAGCTCTACATTTAAATGCTAGTGGCAGGACTGGAGAGGCAGCTCAACTGGTTAAATACATTGCCTGGCACACAGAAGCCCTCCGTTCGATTCCCAGCATCATATAAACAGGCCGTGGTGACATTGTCATCCCAGCGCTGGAGAGATAAAGGCAGGAGGATTAGGAATTCAAAGTCATCCTTGGTAACATATTGAGGTAGAGGCCAACATGGGCTACATGAGACTCTGCTTCAAAAACAAAACAAAACAGCTAATGACAGACACACGTTTTAATTGGCACACTTCTATTTTCTCAGTGAACATTTCCTCTTTCTGATGGACTCTTACAAACATTTTATTGTTACATTTCTTGTAATACTGCCTGGAATTGTTATTTAGACATCATTTTAAAAAACTATAATTTTAAAAGAAGGGCAGACGTTCCTATCAAAAAGAAAAAAGCTAGGGCACATAAGTCAGGATTCTCTCTCTCTCTCTCTCTCTCTCTCTCTCTCTCTCTCTCTCTCTCCCTCTTTCTCTCTCTCTGTATGCCATGTGTGTGCAGGTG